TATTTCACAGTATGCAACATACAAGCTTGAGCATAATTTACTCTTTTATGTGGCATATAGTGGCTAACAAGTAGAAATTACTTATTCCATGGTTGGCGTTTTAAAAAAATAGGGTGATTGCATTTGTATTTCTCTCAGCATGCACAGAAGCACTTTAAAATACAGGCAGTCGTGTTAGCATAATGCAAGTGCAATAATATAAGTTATTGTTCATAGTGCCAGCCGTGGGATAGTGACACAGACTGATACTTAGTGGAATGAGGGTAAGAACTTGCCTTATGATGTGTACAGCCCGCACGAAAATGCAGTAGTATCAAAGAAGCAAAGAAGCATTAACGCAGTAGTGGTGTGGAGCATATTTGCAGTAGAAATGCAGTATAGTCTACTGCAATTCTACTTCAAAAATTACATAGGGTTGTACAGAGGAGGAGCATTAATGCAGTAGATTAGCAGCATGATTGAAGCGTGTTTCAAATATGCTAATGAGCTCCACAATCGAAGCAGATTTGAAGCATGTTTGCAGTATGATTGCAGTAGTCTACTGCGCTGGAGTATCTACTTCGTTTTCGTGCGGGAGGGGCTCCATCCATTTAAGTTTATCTTCACATAATAGGGAGACCGAGACTATTTGACTGTCAGTATGACTCTATGACTCTATGAAAACTCCACTATAGATGAAGCACACATATATATAAATTTATAATGCTGGTTTGAAAAAAAAGCCTTTTAAGTTTGGTGTTGCAAAATGCTGCTTCCTTTGAGCCTCAAATAGCAACCTAACCAGTTTCATGCCCTTAGCAAAAAATCAGGCCTTCTACAAATTTGCTGCAATATTACTGCAAACTGTAATTTTTTCTTGCAAAATTTGCAGCAAATTTGCTGCATTGTGACTGCAAATTAACAGCATGAAATTTTTAAGCTTGCGGCGATATTGGAGCAAACTTTTTATTAAGCTAAGAGCAGTTGCTCAAGGGTTGCAGAAGGCTCGCCTACCGGGGGTTGAAAGTTGGGCGATTCCTTCCTCTAGGTTTTTGAGGCTAACATGAAGTGGCAGGTATACGACAGCCAGAGAGACCACTACGTGGCCACCTTGATGGAGCAACTAGAAGACCTAAAGGAAAAACTGCAACAAGCCAAGTCAAGCACAAACCTTGATGAAGCAGCCCAGAGAGAGATTGACAAGATTTTGTTGGCTTCCAAAGATAAAGTGACTGCCATTGAAGAAGAGAAAATACAGGTTGAGTAACTTTTAGTCATACAACGTACTGAATGAGTACAATAGGAGTAGAATATTTTTCTTTTCTTTATTGATGATTGGAAGAAAATGAAGAAGATTGCTTATGCTTGTAGCAAGTTCCCTTCTTCAGTGTACACAGTTTATGCTCATGTTTATGTCTGTTTCTAAAGTGAAAAAAAGGAAATTTTAAATGTTTCTATATATCTGGAGTAGTGATGCAGTAAATAATGTGCAAATACATGTATGCGTCTTACCAACACTATCAATTTAGATTTGAAGTCAAGGATGCTTTGTTTAGAGAAATAACAGACAATTATGGGAATAATAAAGGGAATAGAGGGAATAAAAAAACTTATACACATATTGAACTGTTCTTTCATTTGATAAAGCCCTATACCTACTGGTAGATTGATCACATAAAGGGAAAATTTATTTTTTAAAAAACATTTACAGACATTATACTTAAACAGCAGGCAAAAAAAAATCCCAAAAGCAAATCTTAATAAGGTAATTTATAATCAACTTATTGAACAATCTATTCATGTTTTTGAATATATTTACTATATGCATTTATAGCTAGAAGATGACCTGAGAAAATTCAAGCAACTTTGTGAGCAGAAGGAACAGAGGATACGTCAGTTGGAGGCACAGTTACGTGAGCGCCAAGGTGGAGACAAAGATGTTGTGGAGGCCCTCAAACAACAGATCTTGCTCTGTACTGAAGATTTTGAAGCTGAGAGAAGAGACCGAGAGAGGGCTCAGGGAAAGATTTTTGACTTAGAAACAGAGCTTCAACTTCTACGGAGACAGGTAAGAGTTCTGTGTTCTGGAAAAACAGAAAATTTTCTATGTTTTTTTAAACATCTGAATTATCTAACATGCACTCCATTTTTACCTTTGCCACGGAGGTTATATATTCACTTCCATTTGTTTGTTACCAGCCTAACTCAAAAAGTTATTAAGGTATTTCCATACTGCATGTATAGAGGGAGCCACTGCAGCATCAAGCTCTCCTGCACTGATGAAACCAGCACTTTATATTCAACACTGGTACACTTGACCTCAAGAGAAGATAGAGTTGTTTCAGTGAATATGGCGCGGAAAATTGCATCCACAGGACTCGGGTACTGCCACCTTGACACTATATTCCGTAGAGATGGTGCTGATGCACTGGTGTCAATTTTGAAGGAGAACTTCAATGGGAAGCCAAGAGTTACTAAGGACAAAAAGACACTGCAGTCCCTTGTAAATTATTTTTGCAATAAGCACAAACAATGAGTGCTGTGAGTGCAATTTCATTGTTCTGAAATATATCAAAAAGTGAATTTCACGAAACCCTCCCTAAATAGAACCCCCTCCCAAGAATCCCTGGATCCCCCCTGTCTTTCATTATATTCTCAATTATGAAATATTCAGCAACTAAATATAGTGAGAAATACCATGAATGCTACTTTGAGGGCTATA